AAAAAAAAAAAAAAAACGTATTTAAGATGTTAAACAAGCAATGGATGTGTTGACTTACCTCAGTGTTGCTGTTTGGTACAAATCCTGTGAGAGGTTTATTCCAGGCACTTGAAGATTGTGGCTGAGGATTAATAGGGCCCACTGGATATACATGAAAAAAAAAAAACCTTATCAATGACTAGTCAATATTTTCAGTCCAATATATTCAAATTTTAATCACATTGCAACAGTTTTTGAAACCACAGCAGGCGATGCCCCTTAAGGTGCCAAATTAAAAAACTTTAAAACTCCTCAAATTTAACAAGACAAAACATTCTGTTATGCATGCATAGGTAGCCTGTAGAACTCTGGGAGATAAGCACCCTTGGGCATAAAGAGGTCTTTGTAGCCAGCTTAAAGTGACACTAAACTCAGGAGTTAAACCTTAAAAATGCATTCAAGTACCTTAACTATCAACAAAAAAAATGTATCTTATTCGTGTATCACTCGGCCGTAGATCCTCAAATCATCTCTGAATTGGTGCGGAGCTTGTCCTTCCTTCTGGAGGGTGGCTACTTTTGTTCCTCATGGTCCCCGTGTGTTGTAAAGTAGCCTCCAAATTCGCTCCCGTGATGGACTACAATCTCATGTTTACTAATTTGTATTGAGATTGCAGTCCATTACAGGAGTGAGCTTGGAGCAGTGACTACTTTCCAACACACACATGGGTATTTAAGTATCCGCCCTCCAGAAGGAAGGACAGTGTCTGCACCACTTCAGAGATGATTTGAGGATCTACAGCTGAGTGATGCACAAAAAAAACCCCTACATTTTTGTTAAAGGTACTTATATACATTTAAATCCTAAGTTTAGTGTCACTTTAAGACTAATAGCATTGCACCAGTTATTTTTAATCGAATAGGAAATGTTCATATAACAATAAAATAGGATTTATACCTGAAGGGCACTCACATTTCTTAGATAAGTCATTTAAAACACTTGGAGCCGCAATTTTGTTTTCCCATAACTCTGTTCCCAATGGAGCGGATGGCTGTGAGGGAGGTGGAGCTTTCACAGGTCCAGGAAAGTCTGAGCCATTTGTGGTCGGCTGGGACTGGATAGGCAATGGAGGCTGACTCGCCGGCATTGATACAGGTACTGTTGGTGGTAATCCTTGTGCTGACAAGCCAGAAGACTGAGCTTGTAAAGCTGCTGCTTGTTGCTGCTGTTTCTTCACAAACCGAGGTGGAAGTTTGGAATTCTGGCCTCTTCCTTTTTCACCAGAGCCCTTTTTATTCCACACCTAGAAAATAAAAGGCCAGATTGATCGGATTAATAAAATAAAACGCAGTAATGTTAGGTAAAGAAGAAAGACTCCTAACCGAAAATAATATTTTCCAGCACTTATGGCCTTGGCCTACCTGCAATGTCTTATATTTTTACACAGCCAATATTTGGTCCAATGCCCAGATACAATACTGAATACTTTATCTTTACATCTTGACAATCATTTTCCTAAAGTGCAACTGTTTAACTAGAATTCTCAACTTCTGGTACATATTTTATATTTGATAATGGAAGCATGGTTGGTAACGCTCTAATGTTGGAGCTAAAGGCCGGGCCTCTTATTAGTGCACACCAGGAATATGGATTTTCCCAGGAACAAAGGAAAAGACAAAAAAAAAAAAAAAAAAAAAAAAAGAGCCTCAGCATTGTTCTCGGTTTAAAAGATATGGGAACACTGATAGGATTGTATAAGTAAACTAATCTGTTATTACTATGTAATAAAAAGACAAACCTAAACAATTCACATAATTTGTATTAAAACAGGCAGGCCCTTGCACTACATGGTTGATGGTACAGCTAAAGCAGATTGTATAGTGTACGGTCAGCCCTATCTATAACCATCCGAACCTCCACTTTTAAAGCAACAAGCAACATATGCCATCCCGCCATGTATACCTGTACAGTTTGCTCTTCTTTCTTTCTACGCTCTTCATCTTGTAGGCGCTTCTGCTGCTTTTTAGATACTACTTCAGTGAAACCATCATTGAGGTTAGATTGTGAATCCTCAAGTGTCGTTACTTCAGGATGATCATCTATTATCACAACACCTTATGGAAAAGCAAAAGATATGAAACAGTTATTAGCTAGAAACAAATGATAAAAGGACATAAGGATTACAGAGATTAAAAAAAAAAAAAAAAAAGTTGAATATTGATATTTTATATACAACTTTTTTTATGGACATAAAAAAGGAATCGATATAAAACAGACTACGTTTGTCACAAGAGGCTCCATATGAAGAGGGGCAAACACAAAAGCAAAAGAAAGATGCAAATTATACAGTAAGGTGCAACTCTAAAAGCAAGATCGACATCGGGATGACTGACTCCCTCAAATAACCATCCGTACAGACGCTTTAAGAGCGGGAGACTGAGCCAGGAGAAGTTGTCTCTTCCTTCCCTCTGCCTATCTGAGCAGAGAAGTAGGAGGAAGGAAGCAGGTTCCCTGTGACGAGTGCCCAGATGAAAACTCACAAGAGGCAGCGTGCAGCTCTGTTGCCTACACTTCTCTCTCTCCTTCGATCACTTCCTGATCATGGGGGAGAGGAAGCAATACAGGGAACTGCTATAGTTCACTGTATTGCCACCTGTACACTGATAAAAAAAAAAAACAAAAAAACTTTCCTTTTTCTTGGATACATACACGTTAAAGTCTTGATGCCTAATGTGTGGCCCTTCGACGCTTATTGCGTGGCCCTTGTTGGTCCTGCAGACAGAATTCTGTGTTTTGGTGCTTGCTTAAGAGAATATTCTTCACATGGGATTTAAGTAGTTACATGGCTCGGTTTATTTTACACTATCTTACTTTTTTCTTGTGCTACCCATCCCTTTTCTTTTTTCTCCGATCTTTCAAAATTGATCTTGCTGAGAAAAATCTAAATGTGGTACAGGGCTTGTTCACACCAAGTCCAGTGTGTTCCACACAGTTATTGGCCAGAATCTACTGGATTGTATAGTGCGAGCCTCCCTGCATTCTGAGGCAGGATGGGGCGTGGTGGTTCATTTAAGTCAGTGGCACCACAGCCACGCTTGCCGCACCGCAAAATTGGGCATGTGATTTGTGAACAAGCCCACAAGTAATTTTTGCGGGTGCTGTAGGGAATACAAACGTGAAATCAATGTTTTGTAAAAGGGGCTTTTACAGCAGTGATCTCTAGCAGTCTTGTGTAATGTGTCTCCAATCTATAAATGTCTCCTGAAGCATGCCCACCAACAACACCGTCCCCATTGCATGCCTGCAGTCTCTAAAGACTAATTGTTTTGAAATATACCTTTGCTTTGGAGAAACAGATATGTAGGATACATGATTCTTATGAAAACAACATACTTGCATAATTGTTCAGGTCAAACTGTGACAACGCATCCACCTTCTCCTTAGGCTTTTTTACTGCCAGCTTGGCCTCATCTTTCTTTTTGCCAGAAGAATCTTTGACCATCTTTGAAGGTGCCATGGCACTTCCATCATCTGAATGGTGGTGATAACCGTGATAGTGGTGATTGTGGACAGTGCTGCCCCCAGATGAATCGGTTGCATTCATACCAGGCATCTGGTCATCTGTTGGACTGACGAATAAAAATAGATAATGACTTTGTGAAATGTGCAAAATTATTAGATACAAAATGTTTTATAAATACAGAAACAAATCATGAATCTACTATAATGGAAGGCGACTGCTGGACTGAATGTTTTAGTCTAGTACACTCTCCGCTGTGCTTTTTTTTTGCCTCGTGTAATTGAAGAGTCCCATCCAAAGCTACAGGTTTGATAAGCTGGGTAGCCTATAAAGAATTTTGTTTTGCACTCCTGATACAATGATCCAGCGCTAAATTAGTAAAGTTCCTCCTCTTACTGCCTACAGTATACTATTGCCACACTTCATTGAAGCCTTCATTTAATCTACAGCAAGTAGCGTATACTATAGGCTACAGGAATTCATGGACAGAAGATGATGCACACCGACATCGGAGTTCACATGTGTATGGCCATAAGTTCCCATACGTGGAAGTTTTGTGTTCAGAAACTCATGCTACAAATACTGGCGTTTTTTTTACACTGTATGCCAATATGCCTGTATTTGCGCCTGTGTGCATTAGCACGAACACACTTGTTGATTGACGAAAATATATACTGCAAAGCAGTACAGCCCATTTTCCCAAAAATAAAACTTTTAGCATATTTTGTAATAATTTGATCTACAGCGCCAAGCCTTCCATATGTACACGTTACCATTTGCCATGAAAGCTTACAAACAGCATGGAGGTACATAGGGTTTTCCCAAGTGTGTAAACGAAAATGCTAAATAGGTGGTAAAGTGTGAATACCACTATGATTACAAATGAAAGCATATCTTAACAGATACAGACCCTCCCCCCACCCAAACATCTTGCAATTTTTCCTTCCTGCTGCAATTCTGAATAGAACAGGAAATAGTTAACCAGTTTTTTTCCCCATCTGCCTCATTCAGGGGATTTTCCTTCAATTCCTGTCCTGTAGACACAACAGAAAGATACAAACATCTCTGCAAAGTGAAAAAAAGTCTTAGATTCTCTTAAATGAACAGGTGCCCCCGCTGGAAGATTTCCCCTATTTCCCCTGTTCTGGTGGTAGCGTGGAATTTTTCCTCACTTTCGGTCCCTAGCAGAGACCGAAAGCATTGAAAAACCTGACAGGGTTTGCTGCCACTCTAACCAAAAAAATAAAACGACCTTTGGGTAAAACCTTAAAAACGAGATTTAGCATTTTTCTTACCCCCTTTTTCCTCTCTGTAGGGAAGTGCCACTCCGTCTTTCACTCCTGGGTCCGGAATAATGCCTGCTGGGTTTGGGAGCACCAGTATTTCCTCTACGGTTCTGACGATCCATGCCAGGTCTTTGACTGGAAAAACTTCTTTTGGCACTCTCTCTTTTAGGTGGAGACTGAGCCAAGCCATCTGCAGATTTGCTAGGGGCAGGCGATTGAATATTGGTTGATGAGGCAGCTTTGCGCTCATCTCTCTCCCTTCGTTCATTGAAATCACTACTTTCTGAAGCAGTTTCCCACTCCTCATTGGCCTGGTCAGAGGAATTGTGATTAGACAAGTCCGGTGTTTTGTTGCCAGAGAAATCAGAGGGAAGTTCATGAACAGTACTAGAAACAGGCACTCCTTGATTAGAAGATCCAGTAACCTCAACAGGTTTTCCAGCATCTTCTCTTTCCCTTTCTTTTAATCGCCTAAATCTTGGAGGTTTATCTTGTCTCGGTGGACGAGTTGGTCTCTGCCGTCGTGGCCTATCCCTTGCAGGATCAAATTTGCGCTCAAATTTAAAAGGTGGTCTTCTCTCTCCAGCAGGTAATGTTGGATGATCCTGTTTGTTTTCCCCTTCATCCAGTCTTGGAGGAGGTGGTGCTCTTGATTCCTGCTGTCTTGGAAACCATTGGTTATCCCTATAATTAGATCTCCGTGGTGGTGGAGGGCGTGATGTGCGCATACCAGGCTCTCTTCCCCCACGACGAAAACTTCCAGCTCCTCTGCCTCTACGGGAAGGTTCCCCTTTAGGCAAGAAACCAGGTTTTGTTCTAGAGTCATCTTCTCTAGAGAAGTGCCTTTCGGATGGTCTCCCCTCTGGCCTCAAAGGTCCAGGTTCAGGCTTTAAAGAAGAAGCCGATTTAGGTGCCCTTTTGATTTCAGATCGGTCATCTCTACGGGGTTTGCTTCTACTTGAACTTTCCTTATCCGATAAAGGTGTGTCACTTGCACTTTCACGACCTTCACTGTCAGAGTCGGTTTCAGAACCACGCTGTCTGAGTCTCTTTGGCATAACTTCAAAGTCTGAGCTTTCACTGCGAGTTTCACTTTCATCCCTGCGCCTTAAAGCTCCTGGAGGAACTTGTTCACTGCGGGGTTTTGTATCTCTGTAATGTGGGTAGTCTCTACTTTGACCTCTGCCACCTCTCCCCCTCCCTCCATAGGAACCTCGGTAACTTCTTCCTCTGGAGTAGTACTCTCCTCGCCCTCTTCCTCTATAACCCTGATCAGGAAACCAGTCTCTGTCTCTAGCCTCTTTCCTATAATTTCTTGGGGGAAGCATAGGCTCTCTTCGATGAGGTATTGTTGAAGAACTGGTCTGCGGAATCACGGGCGGCTTTGGATCTAGTTTGGGCTTATCAGAGGGAGGTTCCTTGTTGTCCTTGCTAACCACCCGCACAATTTTCTCTTCTTTACTTGGCTGACTAGGTGGTGGTGTTGGTTGAGAAACAGCTTTAGTTGTAATTTCAGAAGATGTGCTTTCTGATGGCTTTTCTGAAAGTAAGGTGTTAGAACTTGGTACTTTTGGAAGAGTGGCAGCTTCAGGCAATTGCTTATCTTGTTCAGTTTTACTGACTGAGGTATGAGGACTAGGTGCTGGTTGAGCTGGTGGAGGTTTTCTTTCTATTTTCTCTTGTTTCAGTGTCTTTTCTTGTCCAAATTTCTCCTCCTCCCTTTCTTTTCTCAATTCACGTTCCTCTTTCATGTCCCGAAGAATAGGTTTTTTGATCAGGCCTGATCTCCTTATAGGTCTATCAATACCTTCTTCTCTGAAGCGAGAACCAGGCCTTGGACCCCATCTTGTTTCAGATTTGGGTTTGAAAGGTTTTTCTATTTTTGTGAGCTCAGGCGCTTTGGAGCTCTGAAAACTCTCTTTTCTTGGTTTTTCTTCCACTACTTCTTTTGTAGGTTCTGGTGGTCTAGCAGAAGCTTTAGAAGTTGGCTGTACAGTGTCCACTCTCCTTTCCTCCTGTTTCAGAGTGTGGGCTGACTCACTGGATAAACTTCTGGTCAAGACAGGTTGGATGTCAATGTGAGAAGAATCATCTATGGGGGCCTGCTTCTCTGCTTGATCAAACCCAGAAATTTGTGTGTCTTGTTCCTCTGCCTGAGGTAACTGAACGGGTTCTGGATGCCTTACAGGTGCACTGTGAATATCAGGCTCTCGAGATCTGGAGAAGAAGTCAGTTTTGTGTTGCGATTCAAAAGGACTGTGGTCCATAGAGTAAGTTTCAGAAATTATATCCTGATCCAGAGACGTTTCAGACCTGACAAAACAGAAAGTAAAGTGTAAATCTTACAACAATTTAAGAGCTTAATGTAAATATTCTACATTCAAGAAGACTGTTTGAATGAAAAATATTTTTGTGAAAGCTTTGAGAAGCTGTGTGTACACAGAAATGCACACAAAACCTACAACTCTACCTGTAATCTTCAGGCTCCTCAGCTTCTTTTGCGGATGAGGAAACTTGTGGGGTGTCTGTGTGTGAGTAAGGCTCTGCTCCCCACATCATGCGAGGTTCAGATAGTGGGACACCGTGATCTCTAACAGATCGAGTCATGTGATCATATGGTTCAGGAGCAGTTGCTGATGCATCCATCTGTTCCCGTCTCATGATTGGCTTGGTTGGCATCATCCCTGTAAATAAAGGGGATGCTGAACTCAGTTACTGCTTAGCATGTCAATATATACTTCCGTATCATTTACTTATGTTTACGGTAACTAGTGTAAACATTTCGAATCAAAGAAGCAGTGAACAATGAATAATCTTACCGGGATGCATTGGTGGCATATCCATAGTAGGTCTTCCAGACATCATTCTAGGATCCATATATGGCTGCATCATCAACCAGCGTGGATCAAAGGCCATGGAAGCTAAATGTTGAGGATGTGGTCCTAAAGGCTGGTAAAGTGGCCTGTGTTGTGGCGGAGGAACAGGACTGCTAGAAGGTTGTGACTGAGCAGGCTGGGAGAGTACACCCTGTTGCTGTTGCTGCCACTGCTGCTGTTTCATCTGTTCCTAAAGCACATAAAAAAGGCACAGGTCCATTAGACTGTGTAATCACAAAGAATTATGGTGGAAATTTCAACACAACATAGTATGATGGGAAACATTGGTAGTGGAGCACCTGTTGTCGCTGAAACCTTGGAGGCAAAGATTTCTGAAACTGTTTGGAGTATCCAGAAGAAACAGAAGGACGTGGTTGGGTTCCCGCTTCGGAGTCGTTGTCATGTGCGAACACAGGTGCTGGTACTGGGGAGGGAGCAGGCGGAAGAGCAGTAACGGGAGATGGAAGTGAAGGCTGTTGGAGGACTGGTACAGAGGTTGCCAACTGCACAGGGATTGCTGGTGGGCAGTCTTCTTGGTCACTTGAAACACTATCCTTTCTTGTAAACTGTGGTTCTTCCACAACTAGGAAATAAAAAAAAAAAAATATCATAAAAAGCTTACATCAAATGCTGGGAATAAAAGCTAAACCTTAAAGATGACAGTACTTGTTTAGGATGAAATGTACCAATGTAATCTCTAACCAAAAGGAACCTGAGAAACAATGAAACGCTGATAGACGAGAATAAAACTTGGTAAATAACAGTTTAAAGTTCAACTTGCTGGCTGAAGAAAATAGAACAGATACCTCTATTAATGCTTACGAGCGTTGAAGAATCTGCCGCTGTTTGAATACCTGAACAGAGCGAGCAGCTGAATGCCTGCTCATTTTGTTCGGCCAAGATTTTTTCCGACATGCTCCTCTTTTGATCAGCTGATAGAGGGAAGCCGGTCGGAAAGTGGCCGACAGCGGCACCAATGCAGCAAATGTCATCCGGTTCATCAAGAAAGATGAACCGGCTGACATTCGTGGCATGTATACCCAGCGTAATAGTAAAACAAAGAGTTGAAATCTTCCAAGAGGCACGACTTTCATATCAACTATAGATATGTCTCTCTAAGTATCTAAACCCAAGATGTAATATTTTGAAGCTTACCGACCTTTAGAAGACCATTGTAAGCGCCCCTAATTTATGCCGTTTGATTTTGCCTATAAAAAAAAAAAAGTCAGTGCATGGATACCTAAATCAGATTGTTCCTCCACATCCGGGACAATTTCCTCCTCTTGTACAAGCTCTACATCAGGATTGGGGATGACTTCTTCCATTTTCTCTTCCTCTTGTACAGGAGTCTCTGGTCTTTCAGGTTCGATTTCTTTTATAGGCTGCTCATTTCCAATCTCCTGCTCTTCTTTTGGAAGAGACTCTTGAGAGGATTCCTCAGCTATAATAATTTTTTCTTCTGGAGATTTTTCAGCTGCTGGCTTGTCAGGAACTGCCGTAGTTAATGTGGTGACAGCACCAAATTTCTCGTTCAGGCGCTTTAATTTTTCCGCGCACGCCGCTTTCCTCTGCTCTTCCATTTTCCTTTCTTCTTCTTCGCGTCTTTTGCGGGCACGTTCTACTGCGGCAGAAACTTCTGTCTGTTGTCGACGTCTTTGTTTCCAGATTTCATCCTCGCTGGGACGGGACTGCAATGGCGCCGGTCTTGCTGGGGCACCTGGGCGAACTTGAGATGGGTGCTAAAAGAGTGGAGAAAGCCCAGTATGCAACATGTAAAAAGGAGCATAGAAATGACAGAAAACATGAGTCTATTTTTACCGATACCTTGCCTGCTCCGGAATGGGCAGGGCACACTTTAATAGTTCTAATGTACGCAACATGAAAAATAGAACTTCAGTCAGGATAAAAGTCAAATGGAACTCTATTGGCCATACACAACGTTAAATAGTCAACCATAAGTTTCATAGTTTTAAACAAACAGTCAAAAATGAAGAGATCGGTCAAATTACGTTCCATTTTCACGAGGATGGGCCACTTTTTAAAAATTAAAAAACAGATCAAAATGATCATTTCAAGCAAATGATATGCCTATGATATATTTTCATTGAAACAACTGTATCACATATAGCCAGCATTGCTATATAGCCAGGTAATCGATCACAAAAAAAAATCTCCCCCAGCTGATAAGTGTGTTTTTATCGCGCCATAGAGCAGCATTGAATGTAATAATTTATCTGAAGCACATAGAAACAGAACGTTGAGCTTAATTCTCACTAGAGGCCCAAATGATGTAACAGTAAACTGAATGGCACCATGCAATTACATTTTTTTTATTTGTTTGGCCACCCAGAAACAAGAAAAATACCTTGCAATTCTGGGTAGGGAGTAGCAATGGGACTCATGACCCTTCCTTTAATGTGATAGTTCTTGGCAATTAACTGCTCAGGTAGCAGCCTGTCCCATGGGATGGGGAAGGGAGTAGTTCTGAGCCCTGTATAAAAGTTTCAAGTCACCACTTGAAGCTTGCAAAGGACTCCTTGTTCCAGCTAGCAAAGTAAAAAAACTAAACAAAAAAGACCCAAAAAAACTGTTGCTTTGCACTACATGGCTAAAGCACCAATTCATTTCATGACCATCACATTAAACAAAAACAATGCATTTTTTTTCTGTAATAGCCAGTAAAAAAAGCTGCATACATAGAGACAACCTGAAAATGGGCACACAGAGCTTCGCTCTAGCCAAGTTACAGCGCAAGTCTAACCCCTCCAACATCCCATGAAAGTGCCCATTTTTTTAGGGAGATGCATGTACGGCATGACGACGTATGGCAGACAAATGTCTATATTCAGCACCCAGAGTTCAGTCACAGGAAGGTAATTAAGTACTGGATTGCTTGACGTGGACAAATTAGATTTTTTTGGCAAAAGTAAGTCAAATTGAGCAAGAGAACCCAAAAGCAGTATGCTATTATAAAGCAGAACACCCAATCTGTTTAGTAAGCAATCATTCGGCCACAGTCACCAACACTTTTTGCAGAAAAAGGTTTACATAGGTACCTGTTGGGGAGCAGCTTTGGCTTGCATAAGAGGTGGGATGCTCTTATCAAGAGACAAAAGTGATGGTGGCATCTGGCGCCGATCCTATATAAACCAAAACAGCACAAATTAAATGCATGCTAGGAGCCACAAGATACAATATTCTGCTCTCGCCTCAAGAACAGTGTCCTGAAACGAATTTTGGATAACCATGTCTACAAGTTCAAGACCTCAGACCACAAATATAGGCCATGAACTAAAACTTATAAAACATAGTTACAGCATATAATGTTAACTTTTAATCTGGTTTTGAATGGCCATGATTTTAAGTCACAAAGAGCACATACTTTAGCAAACAAAGCTAACCTGTGTGTCAACTGGTGGACCTTTGCCAAGAAGCGATTTCGGTCCTGATGCTGGGGCAGAAGCTTGAGAAGGGGTGGATGGGCGTTCTTCTGAGTCTCTGCGAACCTCTAAACTTTCGCCAGGCTTCCCTGGGTCTTGCTCAATTTTAGCGAGCCGATCATCCCTAAGTAAATAAGGAGGAAATAAATTCATCTACTCAAAAAGAACAATCGGATGAGATTGCCTCAGTATGGATGAAACAGTTTTCAAATGTCCAAGACACAGGGAAAAAAAACAAAAGAAAAAAAAAAACCTCAGATCTTTGCTAAGAGAAAAAACATACAAAGAATACTTGTATACACTTGATAAAGGCCTAGACAAGTCCCAGAACAGCCGTTCTAACAAAAAGACTTCAAGGCCTGAAGGATTGCAGGAGACAAAGGGGGCAAACTGAAAACCAGACAGCCCTCTCTGTCGCCTGCACACAAACAAAATACATTTGACAAAAATTACACTCAAGGATTTTTCTTTATTTTTTAGTTTACATACCACCATTATATCTCTATAGGTTGAACTCGATGGACTTGTTAATTTTTTCAACCTGACTCACTATGTAACTATGTAAGAGAGGAATAGTCAAAAGCCAAAGTGCCGGGGTCAGTTCACCCAATACTGATATACCAGGAGTTTGCAGAAGTGTTCAACCACCTGACGTATTTTCTCTCTCAGGAAATTCTGGAGAGCTCTCTGCACGAGGTTCCCGGGTCGGCACAGTTGATTTGGTCTTTATTAATGGTTGCCACTCTCCGTTGGATTGTTTTAACTTTATTTTATATAATAAATGCAAACATAGGTGCAGTAACATGCAAAGGTGGACGGGGGCACCCAATTCTCCAAGGTAACCCGGAGTCCCCAAATTTCAATAGGGAGTGCCCCCTGTTAAAGATATAACAAAACTTACAAGATGCGGGGGGCTGACTCATGCCCCCAGGATCCATCTTTAACCCAAGAATCACTTTTGGGTGGACTGACCGATTAATATAAAAGCAGTACAAATTTGACCATAATTGTTTGGAGCTCATTGCAGCATGTTGCCCACTGTTATACTCTACCTTTCATCTTCATGCTGATCACCGGATCTGGCAAACTGAGCATCTTGACTGTGGAAGTAAAGGGTTGTGATCCCCACTGACCATTAAAAGCAATAAACAGTACTTAAACAGCCATTCCCGTTTCAGACTCAAAACTGGGATTAGTTTAAATGCAGGTTATGTGAAAAATATCCAAAAAGTGCTCAATGCAGCTCAAATCACCAAGTACAATGCAACCAGTGAGGAAGAAAATGATTCATTTTCTAATTAACTGGATCAACTAAGTGTGGGACCCCAGGACATGTGCAGCCTAATTCTGCTTGTTAATCTGCCATGTACATAACCTAAAGACTTCTCTGCTAAAGCCAAGAATGGCATTGAAACATATGAGATGGTATTCAACCAAGTGCCTTCCATGAAAAAAAACATCAACATATTACCGCTTATACATGCAAACAATGCCTGGAGACCAAGAGCAAAAAAGGAGGCTTTTAACAGTGGGAGGAGTTTGAAAATGTTATATATTCCAGTACTCGCCGATACCGAATACCGACGCTGAAAGTTCCATTAAGGACATGTAATGACTCTGCCCCGGCTTTCCGATTAGACGGGAAGCCGTCTCCATGCTCCCTTGTCACCAGGTGACGAGGAAGCATTGAGCTGGCTTTCAGGCCAATCAGGAAGCTGGCCAGCGTGTAATGACTTGCCACCCGGCTTTCTGATACCAGAAGTTCGGTATCGGCAGAGTACGGGTACTCGGCCCGAATACTCGAGATAGATAAATGATACTTATAGCTGAACTCAAGGTAGATATAAAAAGATAAAATTAATGGAGCTCTATATTCATTAAGACATTGATCAAATGTATTTTTTAAAGCAAGCAGTGTCATCTGAATTTGACTTGGCATCAGTTTCTAAGTCCTTGCAACGGCAGAGCCCAGACTGAGGGAGGGAGGGAGGGAGAAGAAGCACAAGAAACCAAATTAATTGTGCTACAGTGCAAGCAACATGCCGACAGGAGGACAGAGCAGAATGACCGATGAGCTCAGTCTGCTCCTTCTACTTTTACTGTCCAGTCACAGGCTGGGGGAGGAATAAACTGCAGCAGAGATAAATAAGGTCTCCCGTCCCACTAGCCTTACAAATCCTTGAGCAGGTAATCAGCTCATGCAGTATATTTAGCATTCTGTCTGGAGTTCAGCTTTAATATTAATTAAGTTGTAAAGAGAATGAATTACAAACCTTACTGACTCAATACGAGATGTATCCTGTATCACCCAAAAACTTTCATTTGACAGAAAAGGAAGCCACAAGAGAATTGGATCCCCTTTTTTCAAACCATAATTGAGGAAATGGCATACACATAATACACAGCAGCTGAACAGCACAATATGTGTTATGGAGATATTGCAGATGAAGAATTATGGGTGCATACTTTTTAGGTTTGAAGATGGACTGCCCCATGCACAGGTTTGAAGCTAGTCTGTTAGCATTATGTTTCCTGGCTGCAAAGAACATAATGTGATCCTCATTGAAAGTAAATGCAGATAGTTTTAGGGAATTCCTCAAGCATAACCAAATCAGTCACCATGATAAACATAAGTACAAGTACTCTAACACATGTACATTTGGTAGAGATGCAGCCTACAGCAGTAAACCACTTTTACAGTGTCCTTTGATTGCTATTTTAAAAACACTGTTTCTCTGTATCATCTGTCTCTATATATTGAAGACCTATTTTAAATTAGAACTCTGGTCAGAAATATCCTTAACCCTTGCAGTGGGGCTACCCCTGCAAGGGTTAAGTGCTCACCTGAACCTTAGAGAGAGCCAGCTGCTAGACCAGGCGCTGCAGCCTCTCCTCCCTCAGCATGCCCACTACAGTGTATTGGACATGATGGCTCACAGGACCTTAGATCGCTGGAGCGGAAGGAGAGAGAGATGGCAGGGATTGGTCTAGCAGCCAGGCAGCTCCAAGGTTCAGGCAAGTATAATTTTATTTTCCTTAGACCAAAATGAGCTTGTAACCCTTACAGTGCGGGGGCAGCCCCAGTGAAAGAGTTAAGGATATTTCTGCCCAGAGTTCTTCTTTAACAATACTTCTGCCTCCTGCTTTGGCTATGGTCACGTCTGCACTTTTTTGGTGTATTGCAAATGTTGCACGTCTACAGCAGTTACTGCACTTTTAATTCAGCTTCCAGCAAAGCATATAACAGTTCAATGGCAATGCATGTAAAACACACATCACAACAAACACAGTGCTAGAGCATGGTGACTGCACTTGGTTTTACACGCTCAAGGCAAGTCTGCGGGTCAGATCAAAACTGGCTCTGTCCAGCTAGAATTCTGAGGAGTCTTTAAAGCAAAATTGTAACCCACATGACCTGAATAAAAAAAAATGAAGGTCTATTAGATCATTTGTCCAGAAAAGCCTCCTCTTCACCCTATATGAACAGTACTTTCACTTTGCCATGGACTTTACTTGGGGCCTAAGCCAAACCCATGGGTCCCCTGAAAGAAAAAAAAAGTTCTGGCCTTGCTGGCTAGTAAAATCACTGATTGGCCATTTCCCACTGGGGGTGCAATTAGGAGCCATGGCTGGGTTGGGCTTAGGAAGTTAAAGTGTACCTTATCCCAAAATGACAACTGTCACGTAGGAGTGGGTTTGTATATGTACCATGATAGGTTTGTATTTCCCGGTTTGCTGACAAATACCCGGCTGATTCTGCCAGTCCCGTTCTGTCTTTTTACAATCTGACCACGTCAAGCACAGAAGCAGATTCATGCTGGCGTTGTCAATTTGCATAGCTGGGATTCCTTCTAGGAGATACAGGACACAGTGCTATAGCCAGCCATGCCCCCTGCCCAGTCCAGTGTTGATACAGTAGCTCCCAACAGGAGCCTCACTGTCAAAATAAGAGGGACGGAGTGGGGGGCAACTGCTTAGCTAGTACAACAGTGAAGTGTGACGTAACACTGGGCCCGCCCCCTGCTATAAGGTAATAAAACCACTAGGGATGATGTTGGGCAAATTTGATTACAGTAAAAAATAAAAAAAAGATACCATTCAAAAATACTTTAAGGCTAAAACAGCAAAGTGAAAGTAATTGAAAATTGAAAAGTATTTTGGAAAATAGTGCACTACGATTCCTTCTCTTATTCAGCACTTTTAGATGGAGTGGAGTACATATTGGCATTTAACAAAAATACTAATTCCATTGCCAAATATATAGATTAAAATCAGAATTTGAATTACAATAACCAATATACACAACAGCTGATTTACTGAAAATACAGAACAGATTTTTTTAATTTATATGAGGACTCCATCTTTACAAGAAATCGGAAAAAAAACAACCCCTGCACCTGACTTCCGTAAATGAAACCCTTAGTAAGTTCCCAGGACAGGTCAACTCAAGGCTTGTTCACACCGAAAGCGTGTGCGTTCCAGAGTGGTAGCTGCTGGAACGCACCGCGGTCGCTAAAAAACTTCCCCCCGCGTTCTGGGGCGTTGCATTGAATTCAATGGCACTGATTCCACGCTCCCCCCGCAGTGCGATCAGACGCGTGGTAAAAACTTTGTCAGCGTTCCGTTCCACTGCAAACGCAAAAAATAAGGCTTGCTCAATTTTTTTGCGTTTGCAGTGGAACGGAAACTGAACGCTGGCAAAGTTTTGCCACGTGTCCTATCGCACTGCGGGCGGGGAGGGAGAGATGGAGGGGGTGGTTGCGATGCCATTGAATTCAATGCACCGCCACGCCCCCTCCCCAGAACGCGGGGGCAGTTTCTTAGCGATCGCGGTGCCTTCCAGCACCTACCGCTCTGGAACGCACACACTTTCGGTGTGAACAAGCCCTTAGAAAAATGCACAATGGGCTCAATTCTCAAAGCTTTTACACAAGGGTCAGGACCTTTATTTTAGCCATGAGTGTAATTTTTAAAGAGGATTCAACTGAAAAGAATTTTTGACAAGTCACCTTATCCACAATGTATTAGGTTTGTGAAACGAGCCTGTTAACTTCGCTATTGGTTTAGCCGCCATATTAGTGAAGTTAAAAAACCGACTCAACCCACATGTTTGAATGCAAATAAACAAACAGAATGCTTAGTTGAAAAGTAAACAAACAATATTTTAATGAATGCTCAAAAAAAAGGGATGATACAATGTTAAACAATGACTACAAAGTACTACATATTTAGTGCTACATGTTACTACAAATACAATACATCTTAAAAAGTATCAATGGAGTATATAACTGATCTACATATAAACATTAAATAGTTCTGATTACCAGCTTTCCGATTTCTCTTTCTGGCTTGCTGACTGCTCATCATCATCACTGAAGTTTAGCTGCTCTGTGTAATCGACTTCACTTTGAGCTCCTAAATTGGAAAATATTATGGTAACAATTGACATTTCTTGAAAAAGGTTATTGCTGCATAAAAAAATAAAAGTTCATACTGGGAATTAAAAGTCACTAAATAAAAAGTTTAAATCAAGAGTCTCTGTTAACAAGCATTGCTAGAACATCTGTATGTATGTGGAGAGGTTAAGTGATCAACATTTGGAACTATTATTTGACCCAAGATCCAAGCAGATTTTCTGTGGTCAGATGGAAAAAGTGTAACAGATTCCTCCATCTACGCTAAACTGTGTGGATGGAGTAATCTCCCACTGGGCCAAGCATAGAATCACGAAGCTTAAAATGTTTAAAAAAAAAAAAAAAGCTTTTTGCAGTTTAAACTGCTTTTACTGGGGTTAGAGTTTTACGGGTTACCATTACTACTTCCTTAGGCTTTCTTTGCAATGTTAGGAGAGGCTGTGAGTGGTGAGGGGTCTGAGGAGGCTTGTCCATTGTATGTTAAGTGAATGAGAAACAATCTTCAAATTTCAATCCTAAGACCCCCATTCACGCAGCGTAGAGTGGAGCCGTATAGTTCCGTGCGGCGGACAAGGTACAGACATACGCACCCACACGGATGTGCAGCTCAGGTGAGGGTACAGCCGCATCCTCCAATAGAGAACAGGCTGCTGCGTACAATCACACGCAGCACCTGTCCTTCCTGGGAACGGCCGTGCAAGCCACACAGCCCCACTCTACGCTGTGTGAATGAGGCCTAAGCCTTTCCATTAGGACAGATTACAGGTGCTGAGAAAAAGCTGGAATCCGCCATCTTGCCTGTTATAACAAAAAGATATACAAAAGTTTTTTTTTTCTTATGATGTGTGAATAGGAAAACAGAGGGGTTTTCTCAAATTTGACTGCAAAAAGTGGAAATACACGAGGTTGGCATTTGCATAATCAGAGAGCTCGGGATGCCTGCAACTTTAGAAGCATGTGCAAGCGGCGGGTTTACTTTAAAACCAGAAACAGAAATAAGTTTCAGTGCAGAGGAATCTTTCTAACCAAAGACAGTATGGGATTAGCCATTATGTCTTCTTTATATTAAACTGTCTTACCCCTCCTGCTCATCTAAAGCAGTGCACACGAACCAAATTCGATCCACTCGGAATGAAAAGTTACAATGGCTTGTAACTTACTTCAGCAGGTTAAACTCAGAGGTAAGCACAAAGAGCATAGGTATAGAGCCCACATTCAAGCCTGCAGTAAGCTGCCTTTTCTATTTACCAAACTGTATCAGATCTTTCTATAAATTTAGGAAACAAGGTGACATGGGCACAAGAAGAGATGTATAAGTTAACAAATCACTTACCTGCCCAGCCTTCATCTGCTTCAGTGTCTAGATTATCCAGCTCTTTAAGCTCAGTAGCACTAATGATTGAAGGACGTTCAACACCCTCGGCTGCCCATGTTTGTGGTGGTCGTCTTCTGTTTTAAGCATATTAAAAATCAAAAATTAGTGGCAATTTCTCGTTATAATCACACAGTAATGTTCACTAAGTTTTGTTTCAACATACAAAAACCTCTGCACACGAGGCTGAAACATACCAAATTGTAAATAATGGAATAAATATGCAACAGCTACAAGAGCAGCTGGAAAGATTGATATAAGGAGTAAGCAGGTTGCAATGTGTGCGCTGCAATTCTCGAACACAGACTGTCTATTGTGCCCTTATAACCAAGAAGCAGATTCAAACTTGCACTGGAAAATACTACGGAGGACATTATGACATTTTCAATCAATAACAGAATTGTAATAAAAATATTAAAAATAAAAAAAAAGGAAAAGAAGAAACACAAACTCCCCCACCCCATTATTACCTATTAGATTCTGGTGCTGTAGGATAGCGTGTGGGTCCTTGCATTGGGGGAAATGGAAGTCGTGGATATGAAGGAAACATCTAAAAAGGGATACAATACAATAAAAAAAAAAAAAAGAAATCAGTAAACTGTAGATTTACAAGATTTAACCAGTTGACATCTGGGGTGTTAAACCCCCTTCCCATCCAGGCCATTTTTCAGTATTCAGCGCTGCGGTACTTTGACATTTATTCCGTCATGCAGCGCTGTACTGAAATGAATTTTATACCCTTTTTTTTTAGGGACACATGGAGCTTTATTTTGGTGGTATTTATTCACCACGGAGGGCGGACGGCAAGAGGTCAAAAAGCCACCGGTCATTTCCATTATCAGGGGTACAAAATGTAACCACTTTAATAAACTGGAATCTTAAAAAGGAACAAATACTTACATTTCCAGCAAATGAAGGCATCATGCCTCTGTACTGAGGAGGTAGGCCCGGTTGCTGTCCATTCAGTTTGAGTTGCGTGGTGGACCCTTTGCTCTGGTCCGCAGAACTAGGTAGTGCAGGGGCAGAGGATCCATCTTCTCCGACTGAAGCAACATTTTCTTGGTCAGCAGGGGCATTTGGCGTACCAAGGTTCCTTCCTCCACCTTCCCGCCAACTGGCCACATCAGCTATGAAAGAAGGATGGTAAGTTCATGATTCTGCATCCTATTTCTCACACACCTGCCTCTTAGGTCTCTCCTGAGGAATGTAGTCAAACCCCCAAAACATTTATCCAGAGACCTCATTTCTTCTTGCCCTGAACTGTATATTACGGGTAACCTGCTCTTTACTGTGCATCTAACAGACATTGTATGACTTTACAATTCATGCCTTGTATTTGTTAGGTACTGCAACTTTCTCTCACATTCAAATGAGCATGAACTTTAGGATGTGCTCATCCTGGAAATACCACAAATAACAAGTGTATTCCTACAATGCTGCTTCAAAGGCTATGGGCTTCATAGTTCAAATAAAACATCCTCAAAGACACCGTTGTAAAACTTACTGCCTAAAGAGACAAAGCAAATGGATTACAAGTAGCAATTGGCCCAACACATCCTGGCTAAGAAAACGAGCAGACTTTGAAGGAAAGTTATTAGATATATCGAATACACTAAACATCAGATTCCCAAACAAGACCGTTTTGTGTTATCTTTGCTACGAAATGGCAGGTTGTGATACAAAATAAAATCTTTTACAATATTTAATTTCTGAAAGTTCTTTCCATGTATTGATAAATAGACAAATTACTTTGTGGGCGCAGACTCGGTCCAGGTCCATAATTATCGTCAGCTGCAGCATCTTTCTCTTTTGTCTTGTCCTGATCCCCAGCTGCCTGCAGACTGGGGAATTCTTGCTGGAAATAGCGGTTCACCTGAACACCTGGAAGTAAAATAAACCAGTGCTATCAACATTCTACATGCAGGCAGATTTACAAAGATTCATACATATATACAACAAACTGTAAGACTTTCAATAGCTTTAACATGCTACAAGAAAGACAAACGTAATCAGCTTCTCTCTACAATTTGTTCAGTTAAGAAGTGAACATAAGAGAGTTGCCGATTGGTTGCTGTGCACAGCTGCTCCAGATTTGGTCTGCTCCAGTTTGATAAATTCCCTTCTATATACCCAAGCTCGGCTTACTGTTCCTTAGCCCAAAACATTTATTTGCATTGACCAACTTGCTAAAAACAATGCACTCCTTATGTGACATCTTATCTTGCCGTTAGAAGTCATATACAGTGCCTTCTACCACATTCTAAGTAGTACAGTTCCATTTCTCTACAAAGAAATTGAGAACAACAATACGTAAAAATACAAACGTCAGAACAAAAATTACTGCAAGGCAAAATCAACACTAATAATGTATAATATCACTCTCTCCTATTACTATCCACCCTGCATTTTTGTGGCCATTCATAAAAATACAGGCCAGGGTATGGAGCCTCCAGTACTACAGAGATCTCTCCAACCCTGTTGTTGCAGGGTTGGATTAACAAGGTACGTGACTGGATTCTCCTCCGGCCCACCACCATTTACAACCTGCATTCATTTTTCATTGTACTATGCCAGCATCGGACTGCAATACACATTTTTAGCACACACTCTGTACTTCATATGCATGCAGAGGTCTGTTTTTTAAGCAGCAGTATTGTACCCTTAGTGCACAAAAGGTAGCCGCTTTAGAACGCTTACCGTCACCGAGCCCCCCTGGCTTGGAAGTGGCCCATGATTTGGCAACAGCAGGAACCTCGGGCACAACGGGGACTACTGGCTTTGGAGGTGGTGGGGGCACTTCTGGTGTTCTGGAAGGAAGACAAAAAATAAAATGTAATGCTTATTGTAAATTACGAAAAGTTCAGAGTACATGGGGTAGAATAATCAACTTTTTTTGTGCACTTGCTAGATGGCCAACTGCTCTGATATGTCAATGTTGTCATGGATACATTGCTAAATGCTTGGTGCACCTCAAATGTAAGTGTAAGCTCTAAATGTTCAACTATTTTTACTGGTCTCAGCTTGACGACAGGATTTCCCAGGATCCTTATGTACTACTGGCTGATACATTACCTTTCTTAGAAGCCCCCACAGAGCTTGAGGTCAAATCACAGGTAGCTGTTCAATGGAATAACTAGCATTCCTGTCAATGTCCTTAAGCTTATAGTACTGGGAATATCAAGCATGGCAATAGGCTTACATTCCTACACAGATGCTGGCAATACAATTACTTAATATAATTTTGGGACAATTAAGGCTCATTCACACATGTGATTAGTGCCAGACAGCAGATTCCTAAGGCTAGGATCACAAGAGTATGAACAACTGTGATTGAGAAGTCTGTACAAAGCAATGGAGCGGTGGCTGTCCGCTGCTGTTCACAAGTATCTGCACTTCCAGCAGTTACCTGGTGTTAGGGACAGGTACTCTTTATGGAGGCAGTAGGGGGGGGTCCATTATACCCACATATTGAGCGCAGTAAAAGTGATCACATGGGCTCTACAGCTACCTACATCACTTTTACTAAAAATCCCAGAGCCTACACAAAAAACATGCTCATTACAGCCAATACAGCTGTGAGCTTGGGTAACCCTTTACTCGCCATGCCGTGTGGGACACATCATTACTAGTCAAAGGGTTAGAGAACTCCTCTTCTGAAAATATTTTATGTTATGCTCGTGCATAGGATAACTCAAAACGGCCACATCAACATGTAGGAATCTGCAATAAAAATGTGCAATGTACACAACCGAGTCAGGAATTTGTTTCTGTTAAACAGAACTGAAGTTCCCTCTTCAATACAGAAAAACTGCCACCAATACTCACTTCTCCTCTTCGTTTTGCTCTTGCTTGGATGCCCAGCCTGTTCCATCTTTGGGCACAATGTTCACATTGGGATCATTTCCTTTATTTTCAGCTTTAAGACTGGGCAAATTTGCAGGGGGAGGCATGCGCCGAGACACAGCAACTTTTCCCAAACTTTGGAGTCCATGGCGTGCAGCAACTTTAAGAAAGTAATGTATAAATAAAGTGAAAAGCTCCAAAGACTGGCCCCACTTTTACAGTTCTTGTAATGTGAGCATTGACATTACCATAGAGACTTATAAGTAGACTACACAACATTTCAATGATTAGCCTATCCAATTCCATAGAAGAAAAAAAAGTCACAGCACAGTAAAATAAAACTCCATTCAAACAAATGCACCTAATTGTACAAATACTTTTAGATTTTACTTTAATGTCTAAGCTTATGAGCAGAGTTGGCAGTCCAATAAAATGAGCTTAAAAAGGAGAATTATGAGGCGAGTGATTTTCACTCAGCCTCATAATCTGAGCCGACCTGCGACGATGAAACTGTCCCAGGTCGGCTCAATAGATCGGGAAGTGAGCGAACACATACCGTCGCACACTTCTCGATCTATCCCTGCAGAGAGCCGTGACTGTCACTCACAGCTCCCTGCAGGGATTCCCCCCCAATCCTCCAGCGCTGACTGGCGGAACGGGCACAGCTGGCTCTGCCTCTGGATAGGCAGAGCCAGCTGTCAATCCCGCAGCTGGGTGGATCTTGACAGCAATGTCGGGTTCCGTTCCGGCTGCAGTGTCTCAGTATACCGTGAGCTTTAGCTCGTGGTATACTGAGCTTTGGGTCACAGGAGAATGCTAGTTTGTGTTCTCCCGTGACCCTTAGGGGAACTATGGGGAAAAGCCCTGACCCCATAGTTCTCCTTTAACCAGGACTTCCCCTGCCTGTGAAGCATTTACGTGAATGAATTTTGGTATAGGAAGATCACATTGCTTCATACATATCTGTAAAAAAGTAATCAAGGCAACTGGACTTGCTGTATTTTTCGTGAAGAGGTTTTGCTGGTCATCCGTCTAGCTTTCTCAATTCAGACTCCAGTTGCCTTGATTTATTTTTTTCCAGATATAGAAAGACCTGGATGAATGAGAACCTTCACAATGCTTCATACATGCACCCCCAGCTAAAGTGAAAAGCCAGCATCTACAGTACTTCAGCTTTTCTTCTAGCCTCTTCTAGCCTTGAGAAATTTATTTTTAGGTCTGTTATATACTATATGGTATATGTATTTTAAATTTAATTTAAAAAAAAAAAAAAGGTAAAAAAAAAAAAAGCTTATGAGCAGAGTTGGCAGTCCAATAAAATGAGCTTAAAAAGGAGAATTATGAGGCGAGTGATTTTCACTCAGCCTCATAATCTGAGCCGACCTGCGACGATGAAACTGTCCCAGGTCGGCTCAATAGATCGGGAAGTGAGCGAACACATACCGTCGCACACTTCTCGATCTATCCCTGCAGAGAGCCGTGACTGTCACTCACAGCTCCCTGCAGGGATTCCCCCCCAATCCTCCAGCGCTGACTGGCGGAACGGGCACAGCTGGCTCTGCCTCTGGATAGGCAGAGCCAGCTGTCAATCCCGCAGCTGGGTGGATCTTGACAGCAATGTCGGGTTCCGTTCCGGCTGCAGTGTCTCAGTATACCGTGAGCTTTAGCTCGTGGTATACTGAGCTTTGGGTCACAGGAGAATGCTAGTTTGTGTTCTCCCGTGACCCTTAGGGGAACTATGGGGAAAAGCCCTGACCCCATAGTTCTCCTTTAACCAGGACTTCCCCTGCCTGTGAAGCATTTACGTGAATGAATTTTGGTATAGGAAGATCACATTGCTTCATACATATCTGTAAAAAAGTAATCAAGGCAACTGGACTTGCTGTATTTTTCGTGAAGAGGTTTTGCTGGTCATCCGTCTAGCTTTCTCAATTCAGACTCCAGTTGCCTTGATTTATTTTTTTCCAGATATAGAAAGACCTGGATGAATGAGAACCTTCACAATGCTTCATACATGCACCCCCAGCTAAAGTGAAAAGCCAGCATCTACAGTACTTCAGCTTTTCTTCTAGCCTCTTCTAGCCTTGAGAAATTTATTTTTAGGTCTGTTATATACTATATGGTATATGTATTTTAAATTTAATTTAAAAAAAAAAAAAAGGTAAAAAAAAAAAGGTAAAAAAAAACAAAAACACATGAAGTGCCACAAGGATGGCTAATGACAAAAGGAAGGCATTGTGACCAGATACTACACCACATTGTTGTTACTTACCAGTAGTTTTCTGTGTTTCTAGTGACTTTCCCTTATACGTATTAAACAGGCTGAGAGTAGCATACTTTTTCCCATCCTTTGATTTTGTGCTCTGGCCTGACTTCTCCGACATGTCGAAGGAAATTCATCGAGTCTGGTACACCCTCCGCCTCACTTTTGGACCCAGTCCTCACCTAACAAATATAAGATATTACATTCAGAACATAGTGCCAATAATTGGAGAGAGCAAAAGACGTCATTTCAGGTTCCAATTCTACCGGGTCTTCGGTTTAAAAATTTAAATGCCATAACCAATAACAGTATGCAAAAGGTTCAGGTCAATGAGTGTAACCAGCAGAATTGTTTTTGTCATTTAGGAGCCAACTCGATAACCAGAGAAACACGCAACAGTTAGAAGCCAGCTATGGCTACCTAGCTCCCGTGTATACATCATAGACTTGTATGGGAATGCAAAATGCACTTGAAAGAAACAAAAGCCCATCCACACAAGCCCTAAAAGTTTGGGACTGACTGCAGTGAAACAAACTGACTTTGAAGAAGACTGAATCGGGTTTTCTGTGAGAAGCAGCCCGCAGTGGGTGCTCCAGTATGACAAGCAAATGAGTTCCAGGATAACCAGGACACCAAAAAAACGAGTGGAATGGTGCACCGCAACAATGCCTGAATAGAAATAATCAATCCTCCCTGCATGATTTTCAATTCGATTTTGACTAATAAAGCATGGAAGTTGCTACTGTTGACCCCCCCATATAAAAATGCTGAATCAATGGCTCTAGTGCTTCCAGTCAATTACTTGAAGTCATAATGCCTGATCTACATATGTTTCAATACAATCCAATACTATCTGAGTTACTCACCTGGAAACACATCGTTCTAAGAAAGTCTGACAGAGCCATGCCCTAAGCATTTGAAAGTTTCACACTTAAATTTTCCTCAATACAGGTTTACTTTATTGGAACCTGATGCAGGCACCAGCTGGCAGTTCTCCATATTTCCAAAGTTAGAGTTGGGAAGGGAGAGGATTTTATTGTCTATTTGCCTACAGAAATTTCCGCTTTCCACCAAACACTAACAATCAAGGAGGAGAGGGGACTGATTAATGTAAGACCCCGTTCACATGTAGCGACATACCTTTGCAGCGGCCGGGATAGCGCGACTTTCGGGACAACGTTCCAGCGACGTTAGCGCGACCTTCTCCGTCGGGCTCCATAGAAAAAAAGCAAAATCGCTCAAAATCCGCCGAAAAAAGGGTCCGGTAGAAGCGACTTGTGACCGCGACGAGCGACATGGAGCTAAGACAGCTCTATTGACTATTAGATGGCGACTTCCCGCAATATCGCGCGGCAAAGATGCGCAATATCGCGCGAAAAGTCGCTACATGGGAACGGGGCCTAAAGGTTACACCAAAAACAAGACATTTTCCAAACTGCTCAAATCACAAAAAACCCTGTTTCTTAGATAACACCATGGGTACCCAAAAGTACCCATTACTACTCTTAAAGTAATAAAAAGAATATGACCAGAATTTTTTTTTTTACATTGAAATAAAAAAAAGAGAATATTCCAGAACAATTAGGTTACAGACGTAAATAAAGCTGAAAACTTTTTCAAATAATTCGCCTTTTTTTAGTGCCAGCGTTTAGGAGTGCTGAGGGAGCTACATCTCCTTTGTTAGGGAAATGTCTCACTTTCTATGTCAGTGCTACTTGCTGCAAAGTAATCAATGCAGAATAGTCATTATGGCTTACCACAAAGCATTACAAAATGTTAGACATAGGCCTGAAATGTATCTGCTATATTAACCAATGTCAAGCTAAGCATTGTGCCCAATATCTGCCCATATAGCCTAACGTTCGAGCTGTTTATTATTATAGGATAACATTTCTGTCCTTTCTAAAGAAACAGCATATACATTTGCACAGGCAGCCCACGCACAACCCTTTGAAACGCTACATAGTGGTTTAAGGTGAACCGGTGCATTGCCCATGCACGCTTACTTAAAAAAGGAGAACTATGGGGTGAGTAAATTACACTCATCCTCGTAGTCAGAGCCGACGTGAGACACTGAAACTGTCACACATCGGCTCTATTGATCAGGAAGTTAGCGGACACATACCGCCGATCGCTGACTTCCCGATCCTCTCCCTGCAGAGTCATTACTGTCAGTCAGACAGGATTATCAGGCACTCTCAGCACATAGTGGGCAACAGCCGCTATATACTGTGTTGGGCAACGGGAGAACGTTAGTATATGTCCTCCCGTGACCCCATAGTTCCCTCAACTGCTGTCCTCCCCAGCTTAACATATGCACCATCTTTTTCCTAAATTCCACACCACTGGAAATCTGCCCGATCTATTACACTGATCCTGGTAAAAATGGGGGGCAGTTTTGTAATAAAAGAAAGAAAAAATTATAAAATTAAAAAGCGTGGCCTCCCTCCCTTGATAAACCATACCAGCATGTCAGAGACATAGGGGTGGGTGTGTGAGAGGGAATCACAAACCTGCTCTTATGTCCACCTACCGCAGAATGGTTTTCAAAGTAGAGCAGGGGTGGACAAATGAATGTGGAATTCAGGAGATACGACAAGATAAGGCAGTTGGCTCTAGTATGCATGTGACATTGATCTTCAAACTATTACTGGGAGAATTATGTGAATGGTCAATGTTCTCTGTATGTCACTTGTGATGAGAGAGCATGGAGCCGACTTCCTGGCCAATCAGGAAGCCGGGTAGCGTGCAATGACGCGCTGCCCGGCTTCCCGATCGGTCAGGAAGCTAGCAAATCCGGGCGCCGTGTAATGCCGCAGCGCCCGGCATTCCGATTGGCCGGGAAGCCGGCGTCATGCACCCTCGTCATCTCACGAATCATAATATTAAGAAAGTGACCTTAAAGCATTAGTTTGTATTGCTTTAGAAAAAAATGTGACCGGTCCTTTTAAAAAAAAAAAAGTATCGGTAATTGGTATCTGCGAGTACTTGATCAAAAGTATCAGTACTCGGTCTTAAAAAAGTGTTATCGGTCCATGCCTAATATCAACCCAATGTGGTGTACAGCTCATTGCCAATCAGACAACCGATTAACCCTTCACCTTCAGAGCAATGCCTCATACTTATCACACATATACAAACCATTTTTCCTTAGTTTTCACATCCCAAAAGTGTTTATCACACTTTGAGTACATTTAGAACAAGAAAAGGACTTACACAATTGTAGGTATGAAAATAAGGTTTTCACACTAAAATTATTATTGTAAATACACATGCATACACAGACTTCCATATCTATTACACACAGTGGTGACAGGTCCACTTTGTTGAGGAAGCGGGGTCTAAATATAGGAGGAATTGTTTTAAATGCATTAGGGCTTGTTCACACCAAGAGCGCTAGCTGCTGGAACGGACTGCAATTGCACACTAAACTTCCCCTTTGTTCTGGGGCGGTAAGGGGCATGGCAGTGCATTGAAGTCAATGGCCCCCGCAGCCATGTCCCCCTGCCCCCAGTGCGATTGGACATGTGGCAAAACATTACCTGAGTTCCAGTCAACTGCGAACGCAAAAAATAAAGCATGCAGCATTTTTTTTGCATTCTCAGTGGAACAGAACGCAAGCAATGTTTTGCCACGTGTCCGATCGCACTGCGGGCAGGAGGCATGGCTGCGGGGCCATTGAATTCAATGCACTGCCATGACTGCTCTGGCCCCAGAATGAAGGGGGAAGTTTAGTGTGCGATTGTTGTGCGTTCAGGCAGATAACGCTCTGGAATGCACCGCAATTGGTGTGAACAAGCCCTTACAAAGACAAAGGAAACAGTAAGGGCACCCATCATAACAGCCACAGTAAGTGGGGTACTTCTAAAGCAAGGATCCTCTTTTTAGGTAACAAACAGTTTTGTGTTGCCTGACCCTTTAAGACCATGTTTTAGTGAGGTCTACTTAACAAGCACATAGACCATAATGAACTCCAGTCCCCCCCCTCCCCCATAAATTGTGCACCTGTGTTTTCTGTAGTTCTCCTCAGTTTCTCCCTTACCTCTCCGTCGTCTCACATTAACATGTTTTACTATGGTATATTAACAGCTCCGTGTCCCCTCAGTGTCTGTCTCCTTGGGGCACCTCTCGTTAATGCAGCATAGTTACTATAGTAGCATTGCTATAGTAACTGCAGTGCTGTATCCATCTTCAGTCTTGAATATATATATGCACAGAAGTTCCAACCTGCACATGTAATGGTTTTCATACAATATTCAAAAGCAATTCAGCTGACAATACAATCTATCAACTAGTAAAGCTGCTGGAAAATGAAATTGTTTCAAAAGCAGACAGCAATCATGCCGTGCAACTACCGGTAGCAGGCACTATTAAATCCATTTATTATCCCACTCTGGTAATCCCACAGCACTTGGACCAATCAGAAGAGTCAGATGCAGTGGGTTAATGTCCAGCCATACAGCTGGCCATACACATGTCAATTTATTTAGTTCCAACGCGCGGGCCAAACGAGAGAAGTTGACGTGATTCCTACATCAACACAAACAACGTGTCGATCAAGGAATCGCCGCTGTTTGCATTGTAATCTGACAGGTGCCGCCAAATACCCAATCAGAGCGGGTATGTGTTCGCTCACTTCCCGATCTACTGAGCCAACGTGTGACAGTTTCATTGTGAGCTGTTTTCATGCGGCTGTTGCACGTTTCTTTGGGCACGATTTTGCTTTGAAGACTCTACGCAAAGCATAGAGGTGTCTATGGGACCACAACTGTGTTGGCAACCGCCCTAAAAAAAATTCCGCCAGCACGATGCAATGCAAAGATGTGTACAGGCACCACCGACGATAAATCGCCTATGTGTGAACCTAACCTAAATCTGGTCTTTGCGTTATATGGGCTGCTCCAAGCTCGCTCCCGTGATGAACTACAATCTCAATATAAAAACTAAACTTGAGATGGTAATCCATCACAGGAATGAGCTTGGAGCTAGTCAGTCCTAAATTCTATAAAATCAGGTGTATCCACTGACCTATGAACAAATTACTTCCAAAAAGGTGGGTGCCAACAATTCGTACATTGGCTATTTCACTACTGTCAGTCACAGGGATTCCCCTCTCTGATCCTCCAGTGCCGAGTGGAGGAACGGACGAGCACAGCTTGCTCTGCCTTTAGATAGACAGAGC